GAAAACGTGTGATTGCTTATATGGAGTACCCCATGATGTTCCCTACCTTTAATAAATCTTACTTTTGGACAAAATTTTACAACTTTCAATAAATAAATAAAAAGATAATATTTTAGAACTTAATATACCATCATCATTATTCATACTAACTTACACGGTCCAATTTCATAATATTGTTCTATTGTCCTTCTCCTAGATGATGTTCCTTTTATATCATGGGGTCTCATTACTATTTGATAGTAACATTGCAGATGGCCTCCTACGTAAACAAATATTAGAACAATGCCAGTATAAAATAATGTTTACACAAGTATACGAGAAATCGAAACTTTCATCTATTAATGAAATGAATCCAACTGCAAAAATTAAAAATTGTATACATGGCAATGTCTCAACTCTACTTATGGAAAGATTATTTTGACACCTAGTGTATCAAAGGGAATTCATTAAGCAAATTGGATACTTACGTCATTAAACTGACATCAAACAAAATGTTAAGATGTTTGCCGCTTGGAGATCCAAATTTTGGTGGGGGCATTGCCATGAAATACAATTAAGCCTCATTGTTTTGCTCAAACGATAAAAAATGAATGTACCAAAAATATTTCATCATAAACAAAATATTTAGACATATATTAATTGTTAAATATTTAGTGATATAAAAAATCAATTTTAATATAATGTTTTCTGAATAATTAATTTTCCGCAATATAATCCAGTTTTTACATTAACATCTTACGGTTCGTCCAAGCTGGATCTATGACGCGACTGCTTTGACTAGAGTAAATTTACCGCACATCTTTTCAACTATACAATGAATCACAATGCATAAACATATCAAATGATCAAACTCCACCACGACAATAATCAGCAAAAAACGTACAAAATACATTCTCTTACAACAATACGCAGTGCATACAAAAAGAATGAAAGAACTCGCAACAGAATGACAAGGCAGATTTACATAATTTTACATAATCCGTGGAAAGCTTGCGGAACCATCTAATGGAGAATCACCATCCTCATTCTCATTAACACGATAAGGATTGGACCGCCTTTGTCACCGTGTTGATGGCCATGGTGCAATTCATCTGGGAGGTCTTCCTCTTCTTAAACATGAACATGACTGTCACTTTCCCTCTGAGCTCACCTTGACTGTTCAAGTTTATGACCCCAGAGCTCAAATCGCTCCCGAGATTCGAATCACTAGGCAAATTAGCAGAACTCAGAGTCACGTTCACATCCATTTTCTTGGTGCTCTTGAAGTTGGCCTTGCTCTTCGGAATGACCGCTTGTCCCACTTGGAAACCTCCATAGGTGAAGTTCACAAAAGAAGCATCGTACTTGAAGGGACCCCAGTTGGTGTTCCTGATTCTGATAGGAGCGACAAAGCTCATATCGAATGAGGGCGAGGCCTGAGTCCCAACGGACAGGCTCTGGATATCGAACTCGGCAACTCTGAACTTGGGGGACTTGAACTTCATAATGACCAGGACAAAGAAGAGAGCTTGGACGACTTGAAAGATGACGAAGGTGATGATGCCAATCGTCCACTTCATCCTCTTCTTGCGCTTCGCCTCCTCGTCCTCCATGGTATGGAGCGATTCTTGATCGCTCCTGTGATAGCCGTTTGACTCAGGTGGTTGGTATTGGTTCTGGTTCTTCTCTGCCATTTGGTAATATTCTACAAAATCAGGAATGAATTCAGGTGTTTCTGTGAAGGAATTGGATATGTGAGAATATAGTCAGGATGGAGAAGAGAGGTGTGTGGGTCAGATTTATATAGAGCGTTCGGAGAGAGAGTATGTCCAAAGAAGCATCCCGTGGACAAGGAGAGCCACTTTCCTGGAAATCAATGTGAAACGCGTCATCGAAATCTTCACTTCTAGAGGAACGCGAGTTTAGCGGGAATATTTCTGCAACAAGAATAGAGGCGTCTCCTAGAGCTTGATTGTTTTGACTTTTGAAGTATCACGAGCTTATGGTTTTTTCTCATTGCAAGGCTTGTTTTCTGATTTATTGCAACCTTTTATCATGTTTCTTTATCTACATAATTACTTAAACTTTAAGAATCGGTAATTCAAATCTCAACATGAGTTTTGAGTCAAGTTTTGCTGTTGACATTAAATTTTATTATTAAATGTTTCATTTCAAGTTTATATTCTTATATTTATTATGTACTAGTTAAATGCTCGTGCTTTACACAGGTCCAGGAGCATTCGCTTTTGGCTTCTCACATATAATTCATTTATATACATAAATTATTGAAGATGTTTGAAAATTATTCGAAATTAGTCAAGTTAAATTTGGATTATGCTTTTTTAAAAGGGGAGCCTAAAAGTCACAAAATTTTGAACAGTAATTGACATAAAACCGGCTCTAATGTGCTTCGACTGACAAATTTTTTTAACCTTTTAATTTTCATCTGAACCTTGAGAACCACTCTTATCTATATCTCTGCCGCCCTACCTTTGCCATTTCCGAGGCTGCAACCGCTGTGCTACGTCTTTGTGACTGCTCGGCACTCACAGTTGTCGCCTCTTGGTGGCCCTTACCCTTCGCATCCCCCTCCCTCCAACTATCTCTCCACCTCTGCATCTCTATCCACGAATCAAAGGAGAGTATACGACGGGGTCAAGGATGGCAGGCAAAGTTTTCAATGCCTTTTTGTGCGGGTTGGTAGCGACATCTTACGGTGGTTCGCGCTATCCGTGCTTCGTCTACAACGTTGGATTGTGGAAGGAGCAAGGGCATTTTGGAAAAACCAGAAAAGGAAATGACACAAATAGTCCTTGAAATTTAGCATAATGTGCAATATGATTCATGAACTTTAACCAATGTGAAATGTGGTCCATGAACTTTTAGTTTGTTCAATGTAATCCCTGAATGGTACATATTTAATGTAATCCCTGAATGGTACATATTCAATGTAATCTCTGAACTGGTACATATTCAATGTAGTCATTTCCTCTAATTGAAGATCAAGGACTACATTAGATATTTTTATATAGTTCAGAAACTATATTGAACATGTACCAAAACTTTAAGGATCACATTGGACAAATTAAAAATTCAGGAATCACATTGAACATTGGGATAAAGTTTAGGGACCACATTAAATAAATTAAAAATTCAGATACCACATTGTACATTGGACCAAAGTTCATGAACCATTTGTGTCATTATCCTAATTTGAAAAGGGTAAAAAAGACCGAAAATAAAAGAAGAAAAAAGGAAATAGAGAACCAATTAACTTGGACTGTATGATGTGCTAATGGGGAAAAGTGATAGAAAAGTCCTAAACCTTTTGCATTAGTGTCAATTTAGTCCTAAACATTTTTTTGGTGCCAATTCAGTTCTAAACATTTTGCATTAGTGTCAATTAGTCCTAAGCATTTTTTTTGTGCCAATTCAGTTATAAACATTTTGTTTTTGTGCCAATTTAGTCATTCCGGCTAATTTTAGCAGGATTTTGTTGACGTGGACGCCGGTTGGTCTACATGGCACCACCGGCGATGACATGGACAACTTTTAATAATATTATAATATTTTTCTATTTTTTTCCCCTTTCTTCTTCCTCCAGCCGGTCACCGAACCGGCAACCAGCTGGAGGTCAGGGGGCCTCTAGAAAGCCCCGCTGGTCACTGGCGAGGGTCGAGCCTCGCCCGCCAGCGCAAGGCTCGTTGGAGGCCAGGGGGCCTCTGGCGAGCCCCGCTGGCCAACATGAGGCTCGAGCCCTCGCCATGGCTGGCGAGACTCGACCCTCGCCAGATCCGACAAGGGCGAGCCTAACCCAGGTCAGCGCGAGACTCCCCCTTGTGCAGGCAGGGGTCGGCCTCGCCCAGGCTAGATCTGGCGAGGCCAACCCTCGCGCAGGTCAGGGCGACGTCGCCCGCGCCAAGGCAACGCCCAGCGAGGCCGCCGTGGCGTACGCAAGGGCCAACCTCGCTAGATCTTACTAGGGGAACCCTTGCCAGGGCTCGCCCAGGCCACGTCAGGTAGCCCACCCGGCCTTGGCCGATGGCCAGTGGCCGATCACCGGCAAAGGGAGGAAGAAAGAAAAAAAATAATTAACAAAAATAATTAAAAAATAGAAAAAAATTAAAAATTATTTATGCTAGTGCCAGCGGTGCCATGTAGGCCGACCGGTGTCCACGTCAGCAAAATCTAGCCAAAATTAGCTAAAAAGACTTAATTTGCACCAGTTCAAAATGCTTACGACTAAATTGCAACAAAAAGGGATTTAGGACTACATTGACACATAGGTTTACTGCTTTTCTGACACTTTTCCCTGTGCTAATGCGTTGCTCTCTTGAGGAGGAATGGATCCAACTTCGCACATGTTTATACATTTGCCACCACTAGTAAAATGACAAGATTGCATTTCTTAAGCATATACATTATATCACCTAACATGCGGACATGATATTATTCAAGATCCCATCGATTAATCGTTTTGTGCACATATTATTTACACCAAAAAATGACCAACTTTTGGTCATTATCGACCAGTGATAGACTTAGTCCATGAGAGTAAAGTTTGATTATTTATGAACAAAATTACCAATAACTTAAAGGGAAGCAACAACTCGCCAGTGAAGTCATCGACAACACAACATGAAGTTATCAACGAGAGTCTTAAAGTTTCTCAACAAAGTTATCGATATCGACGGCGAGCAATCAACATAAAGATAACCGTTGGTTGGTTATGGCATATCCATTTGCGAAGTATTGAGTTATTTGTTCTTTCAAATTTAGTAACTACCATGTGTAACTGCCGTTTGTAAAAGTAATAAATATCCCAAATGTACTCTATGTAAACCTTGTCAATCAATCAAAGAACTCAACTTTTTTGCAAATTTATCTTTATCTTTACTTTTCTGCAATTTACTTTTTTTTGCAATTTAAATTCCTATACTTTAGTCGTAGTTTCAGATATTTCGTTGTCGATTAAATTCCAATGCGTATCTTAATTGTAATTTCATATATCTTTGTCATCGAGAATCACACTCAGCATCCTCATTTACACGACACGAATTGGATTTCCTTCGTTGCCGTATTGATTGCCATGGTGCAATTCATTTGTGAGGTCTTCTTCTTCTTGAACATGAACATGACTGTAATCTTTCCTTTAAGCTCACCCTGACTAGCCAATGTAATAACTCCAGAGCTCAATTCATTCCCAAGATTCGAATTAATATTGCCAGGCAAATTAGCAGAGCGCAGAGAAACGTTCATATCAATCTTCTTAGTGGACTTGAAGTTGGCCTTGCTCTTGGGGATGATTGCTTGTCCAACCTGGACACCTCCATAAGTGAAGTAAACAGTGGAGGCGTCGTACTTAAAGGGACCCCAGTTGGTGTTCTTGACTCGGATAGGGGCAACGAAGCTCATATCGAACGAAGGGGAGGCCTGAGTCCCGACGTTCAGAGTCTGGACGGCAAAGTCACCAACCCTGAACTTGGGGGACTTGAACTTCATGATGACCAGGACGAAGAAGAGAGCTTGGATTACCTGAAAGATGACGAAGGCGATGATGCCGATCGTCCATTTCATCCTCTTCTTGTGCTTGGCCTCCTCATCCTCCATGGTATGAAGCGATTCTTGATCGTTCCGGCTATAGCCGTTCGATTCAGGTGGTTGGTATTGGTTCTGGTTCTTCTCTGCCATTGCTAGATGATCTTGTAGGGGAGCTGGTTTGTGATTATTGCGTTTTTGCTTATTGGAGATGTGAGAACTGAGAAGGCAGAGAATGTTGAGAAGTCCTGGTTATGCTGAGGCATATATACTATGTTTGGGACACAAGACGAGTGGATACGAGACTCAATTTCCAAGAAACTGCAATAAATTTGAGACGCCAACGCGTCCGAACATTGGAATCATCATGTTCTTCTAGAGGAATGCGACTTTGGATGAGTCTGACATTCGTACATTGCGACTTTATTGTTCTATCAATAGATGCTTCGATCACATGCTGAGTGCTTTACCATATTCTATTTTCCTTTTTTCTTCTTTTTTTTTTCTTTTTTCAACAGGGTGCTAAACCAAAGCTTAAGGGACAATGGGGAAAGAAGCAAGCCCAGTCCATAGCACGTGTCTTTTGACTTCCAAAATTTCATCATCCCCACGATGATCAGATCACAAGAAATAAAGAAAAACCTCCTTAATTAGAGATCAAGGCTGGACTTATTTGACTGCATTTAGGCATGGCGGAATCGTGTGATTGCTTTTCCGGAGTACTCGATGATGTTCCCTACCTATCTTAGTTTTGGACAAAATTTTATAATTCAATATCCTATCATCATTATTCATGCTATCATACACAATCCAATTTTATAACATTGCTTTATTGTACTTCTCGTAGATGATGTTCCTTCTATATCACGAGGTCTCATCAATATTATATAGTAACATTGCAGATGACCACCTACATAAACAAATACTAAAACAATCCAAGGGGAAAAGTACCAAAAAAATCTTAAACCTTTGACATTGATACCAATTTAGTCATAAACCATTTTTTGGTGTCAATTTAGTCATAAATCTTTTGCATTTGTGCCAATTCAGTCATAAACATTTTTTTGGTGTCAATTCATTCCTAAACCTTTTGCATTTGTGCCAATTCAGTTATAAACATTTTGTTTTTATGCCAATTCAGTCCTTCCGGCTAATTTTGGCCGGATTTTGCTGACGTGGACGCCCACTGGCCGACAACCGGTCACCAGCGTTGATGTGGACAACTTTAATAATATTTTAATATTTTTTGAATATTTATTTTCTTTTCTTTTCCTCCCCTCCCTCCTTCCTCTAGCCGGTCGCCGGACCAGCGACCGGCCACTGGCAAGGGTGGCCTCGCGCTGGGCGAGGCACAACCTCGCCAGCGACAGTGAAGGCGAGGCCCGACCTCGCTAGATCCAGCGAGGTCGTGCCTCGCCTAGCCGCCGACGAGGCTCGACCTCGCCAAATCCGGTGAGGTCGGGCCTGGCCCAACTGCTGGCGAGGCTCACCCTGGCCAGCGACGGCAAAGGCGAGGCTTGACCTCGCTAGATCTGGCAAGGTCGTGCCTAACCCAGCCACCGGCGAGGTTGGGCCTCGCCCAGCCATGGTGAGGCCCGACCTCGTCGAATTTGGCGAGGTCGAGCCTCGCCGGCAGCTGGGCGAGGCACGACCTCGCCCGTGGCCGGTGAGATCGACCTCGCCGGCCTCTGGCCGGTCGCCGGTCCGACGACCGGCTGGAGGAAGGAGGAAGGGGAGGGAGAACAAAAAATAAAAGAAAAAAAATTCAAAAAATATTAAAATATTATTAAAGTTGTCCACGTCAGCGCCGGTGATCGGCCGCCGGTTGGTCAGCGTCCATGTCAGCAAAATCCGGCCAAAATTAGCCAAAATGATTGAATTGGCACAAAAACAAAAGGTTTAAGACTGAATTGGCACCAATGTATAAGGTTTAGGACTGAATTAGCACCAAAAAAAGATTTATGACTAAATTGGCACCAATGCAAAAGGTTTAGGACTGAATTGGCACCAATGCCAAAGGTTTAGGACTTTTTTGGCACTTTTCCCATAATCCAAGTATAAGATAATGTTTCCACAAGCATATAAGAAATAGAAACTTTCATCTACTAATGAAATGAACGCACCTATACAAGTTAAAAAGGGTATACATGTCAATGCCTCAACGCTACTTATGAAATGTACTTTTTCTTGCCGTTGGTGTATCAAACAAAAATTCATTAAACAAATTGAATATTTACGTTATTAACTCCACATAAAACTAAAAATCTATGGCCATTTCTGCTCGGAGATCCTGATTTTCACGAATTCATTGCAACGAAACATAATTGTGCAACATTTCCGACGAAAATGAACAAACGATTTTTTTTTTTACCATAAATGAAATATTTGGACATATTTTTGTTAATGGTAAAAATATTTTCCGTTGACCAATTTTTCTGAGTGATACAAATAATCATTCTTGGAAAAAAAGTTTTCCGAAACATCCATTTTTCCAAAACATTCGGATCCTTAAATTAGTTTCTCATACGAAAGAGGTCGTTAGAGACAGAAATCAATGACTATAGAGGGATACTGTCGACGGAGTAATCACAACATCACCGCTACTTTTGCATTTCAATTAATGAAAAGGGGTCTGAATCTACAACACAAATAATCAGTCAAAGATTTTTCTTTTTGACCGAGTGATATGAACTCATCTTATCATTCAACTAAGCGGAATCTATAACGCGACTGGCATGGCTAGAGTAATGGCCTCTTTTTGATGAATTTACAAATTCGTGAGTTTGTTTATGAAAATTTGTGAATCTACCACACATCTTTTCATCTATAAATCACATTGCATAAACCTGTCAAATGATGAAACTACTGCACAACAATGATCCGTGAAAACCAACAGAAAAAAATTTCGCACAACAATACGCAATCTGTACAAAAGAATGAAAGAACTCGCAAAAGAATGACAAGGCATATATAATACATAATTTCACATAATCCGGGGAAAGCTTCCGGAACCATCTAATGGAGAATCACCGTCCTCATTCTCATTTGCATGATAAGGATTGGACCGCCTTCGTGGCTGTGTTGATGGCCATGGTGCAATTCATCTGGGAGGTCTTCCTCTTCTTAAACATGAACATGACTGTTACCTTTCCTCTGAGCTCACCTTGACTGTTCAAGTTTATGAAACCAGAGCTCAAATCGCTCCCGAGATTCGAATCACCAGGCAAATTAGCAGAGCTCAGAGTCACATTCACATCGATCTTCTTGGTGCTCTTGAAGTTGGCCTTGCTCTTCGGAATGATCGCTTGTCCCACTTGGACACCCCCATAGGTGAAGTTCACAGTAGAAGCATCGTACTTGAATGGACCCCAATTAGTGTTCTTGATTCTGATTGGAGCGACAAAGCTCATGTCAAATGAGGGCGAGGCCTGAGTCCCAACGGACAGGCTCTGGACGTCGAACTCAGCGACCCTGAACTTGGGGGACTTGAACTTCATGATGACGAGGACAAAGAAGAGAGCTTGGACGACCTGAAAGATGACGAAGGCGATGATGGCAATCGTCCACTTCATCCTCTTCTTGCGCTTCGCCTCCTCGTCCTCCATGGTATGAAGCGACTCTTGATCACCCCGGTGATGGCCATTCGATGCTGGTGGTTGGTATGGGTTCTGGCTCTTCTCCGCCATTTGGTAATATTCCGTAAAACTAGGAATGAATTCAGGTGTTTCTGTGAAGAAATTGGATATGTGAGAACGCGGTGAGGATGGAGAAGAGAGGTGGGTGGTTCAGGTTTATATAGTGTTTAGAGAGAGAGTTTGTCCAAAGAAGCATCCGGTGGACAACAGAGAGCCACTTTCCTGGAATTATTGTCTAACGCGTTGTCGAAATTTTCACTTCTAGAGGAACGCGAGTTTAGTGGGAATATTTCGGCAACCCGAGTAGAGGATCCTTTCTCCTACGTTTCTAGAGCTTGAATGTTTGACTTTTGAAGAATCGCAAGCGTGTAGTTATGTCGTAGCGACGCTTAAGATTGATTTACAGACCCCTTTATCTATGTTACTTTATCGACTTAATAACCAAAACTTTTAAAATCGATACTTTTAATTCTTAACGTGACGCGAGCGTTAAGTTATGGTGCTTCGTATAATAATATTAAATGTGTTTTCCATGTGTATAGTTCTTATATATTTATTTTATGTTAGTTAAATGCCTGCGCGTTACGCCGGCTCGCGAGCATTCCTTTTCGTCTGTTGATGGATAATTCATTTATGTTATAAAATGATTGAAGGAAAATTACCAATCAGTCCTAGATTTACTATGTGATCACCAATTAAGTCCTAAACTATTCAATCTTTTCAATTTAGTCCTAAATTTTTGCGCTAAATTTCAATATAGTCATTCCGGTCAATTTTCGCTGAAAATTACTAATGTGACAATCCAGTAACCGCCCATCATGACACACCGCCACATCAACGATTTTCGACGAACCGGGCGGAAGCTGGTGGGCTTGTAACAACCTAGTCTGATAAGGGCAGGGAGTGATCGTCGGGGCCAGAGAGCTTGAACAAGGAATGGCTCATGGTAGGCTTCTAAGATCACAAAAGGGGCTAAAATAAACCGAATTGCACACCGAATAAAGTTGGGATGCCCTAGGTGTCAGGATGAGATGATAAGCTAATAATGAATATGATGCATGTCTATGTTTATGTATAAATGCATATATTCATATATGTCTATTAATGAATTAATTGGTGATAATCATGCGACACTATATGTTATGTCATCTGCTTGCATTTGAGTGAATGATTTTATACAATGTTATTAATAGTTTCTATTGGCATATCATAATAGTAAAGATAAAGCATTTGCTTATGCATTTGTCATACACGATAAATTTTTTTGTTGATACAAGGTTGAGTGGTAAGATGATCACTTACTAGACTTCGGCTCACCCCTTATTTTTCACTTTTGTAGGATGGATCACCCTCCACCACTACGGTTTGGAGTTCCTATATATTTTGATTGTGAATGCCAAGTTGTGCTTATACATGAATCGGCAATAATATATACTAAGTGTAGTTCCACCATATGAATCGATAAGGAGTTTGTTGCACCACTTAGGGGTTTCGATTGTCCCTTTGGTTTCGACAGCGATAGCATGTCTAAGGGCGTGGTTATCGATCCGTAATTTAGTATGTGACTTTTGTATAGGCAAGTTTTTGGTGGAGGAGTGGTGTGATGGTTTTAGGTGACCTAACCCTTCCCAAGACTTATCTGATGTATTGCATTTGCTTTAATACTATATCAAGTTGGTAACTAGTTGTGTTAATATAAAGAATCGTATTTATATTTATTAAACTCTATCAAATTCTTGTAAGGGATGTTGTGAAAATTTTGTTGAGCTTCTGCATTCTATTAATAACAAGAAGATAAATTAAAAAGGATATGTGTCGCGGGTAACGTTATGAGGCATCACAATTCCAAAGTACCTCGGGACTTCCCTTAAGCTAAAGTGCAGCTCTCCAAAAATTTTGCCAAATGTCATTTGCATTTGGCCAAGGAGCTTTGAGGTCCCAAAGAGCTTTGGCAAAGCCGAACCAAACGCACTCTAACTTCTTCATCTACACACAGAGATTTCCCTGGCAAGCAATTCCTCCATTTCCATCTCTCCTCAACCATCAACTTCTCATTTTCTACCTCTCCGGCGATCGTGGATCATCCATGGGCACAAGCCTTGATGGCGAGCTCGACATCTCGACGGTCATGGATAAACAACGCCGATGATAACCATGGACGAGCAATGCCCGATGACGCCTGAAAGCATTGGTCCATGGACAAGCGACGTGACGCAATGCCTAAATGTGTTCGGCTATGTACGATCTGGAGATTTGACATTCAGCCATAACGGAGCCGGAGGGGGTAGCTCTGGCAGACCATGAGCAACGCTGGAAGGGATGGCTAGATTAAATGCGTTCAGCCATGGATGACCAGATCTAGAGATTCAGTGTTCAGCTATGGACGGAGCCGAAGGGATGGCTCGGTGGAGGGGGTGGCTCAAGCTGACCGCGAGCGACACCAAAAGGGGTGGCTCGGCTTGGACACACAGGACGTAGCTCTGGCAACTTTGCTGGTGGCGACAATGAGGGGAGGTGCTACAAGTGAAAGGACTTCCATGGCTGGACAAGGGGAAATTTTTTTTTGACACTTGTTAATTTATGAGTGGTGGTAAGTAAAATAATGCCTATCTCATCGATCGCATACGTGGCTCTATGAAACCTATGAATGTTTTCTCCACTCCTTTCTTTGTACATCACTCAAATAATGCCTCGGGGACATTAAGATTGCGTTTGATAACTGTTACACCCCGCACCCTACGAGCGCGCGGTCATCCCTCGATGGTCGATCATTGAACGCGACGTCCCAGGACGCGTCGCCGACCCAAACGAAACACCCAACAATAAAGGCAAGCGGAAGCGAAATTAATTAACCCAGACAATAAACAATGACAAAGGGATAGCACGAAACAATAATTGCATACCATCATAAAGTAGTCACTATACAAAACGATAACTCGGGCTACCAATTTAGAACCACAATTTTCAAAAGGGGGCGGTGGTTGACAAGCTTATCTCCTCTACAAAAGGTACTCAAAAGACAGGGTAAATGATCTATTCTTCAATCCCTGTAGTGCTCTGGCGGCATCTCCGAATCGATTACGGTCGTGGATCTGAAATGGTTATATAATAACCGTGAGAACGAGTCTCAATAAGCAACCTCCTAAACCCCACGTAGGCCAATGCGTACCCAGACAAGTCATACATGCAATCTACCCCATAACATATAAAATTCGCATCATTGTACTTACCTCGTCATCAAGCCCATGCCAACTCTACACGTTAGTCGTCACGTGATAATGCAATAATAGTAATTAAATAACACATCACAATCGCTCAAACACCAACCACGCTTTCACTCAATCAATCCAACTAATTCAACCAGCCAATTCAATCACACTCAATTCGCATACGTGGCCGAGCAACTTTCTCACGACCTCCCAGGTCCTTTCACACGGCCCGCGTCAACACGCCTCAAGCCAGCCCTCGAGATCAAGCCGGGCTCGGTCCGCGTAACCACGCCTCGGGACATTTCTCTCGACCCGCGTAACCACGCCTCGGGTCATTACTTGCCTTTCTAGCCACCCCGCGAACCACGCCTCGGGTTGCGGCCCCGAGATCAAGCGGGCCCGGTCCGCGTACCACGCCTCAGGACATTTCTCTCGACCCGCGTAACCACGCCTCAGGTCATTACTTGCCTTTCTAGCCACACCCGCGTAACCACGCCTCAGGTTGGCAGCCCTCAGATCAAGCCGGGCTCAGTCCCGCGTAACCACGCCTCAGGACATTTCTCTCATGCACATGCACCACCACACAATCTGTCATCTAACACGTCATACATTTCACAATCAAATTACCAAGCTCACACCAATGTCAATCTGACACACTCTAACAACCACTTTAATTCACACTCCCCACATCGGTCCACCGACCCGACATTCATGTCGGCACATTCAATTAATCCAATTCACCCACAAGCGCCACGACAATTCAGTCAGGCATATTTATCTCAGTTAATCACTAAATCAGCCGCACAATTATCGCCACAATAATTCACCAATTAAGCACAATCAGTCTAATTAGCCCACGCCTAATTAAAGTCCTAAGCCGGTACTAAATTTCACCCTAAACAAGTCTAAAAATACCCAAAGTACTAGGTAGGGTTTAGGAAGTCACTTACCTAAGTTTGGCCCGGGAAAAGTCGGCTCGGGCTCAAAATGGCCCGGGTGAACAAGATCTGGGACCGGGCGAGGCGCGGGCCAACAGCGCGGTGGCCGGCCAATGCGGGCACAATGGCCGATCGGCGTGCAGCGCGCTGGCGCGATGGCCGTGCGGTGTGCCGGGGCGCACGGGCGAACGGACGGGCGACGCGCCCGGGTCGGATGGGCAACGCGTCTGGTCGAACGGGCACGGCGCGGGCGAGCTCGGCCACGGCCGGGCTGGCTGGGCCGCAGCTACGGCCGGGGCGGCCCAGCGCTTGGCCACGGCCCGGCCGGGTGGGTGGGCCGTGGCCGGCTAGCTGGTCGGGCGACGACCCGGCGGCGGCCTACTATGGCGATGGCGACGGCGAGCCGCGGGAGGGTGGAGGTCGCCGGGGTGGGGCGAGAGGGGAGAAAGAGAGGAGGCTAGGGCTTAGGGGTGGCGGCCGCGGCGAGTGGCCGGACGAGCCGGGCGACAGCGAGTGGCCGGCGATCGCGACGACGGGCGGCTAAGCGACGCGGCGGCGACTCGCGGTAGCGGAACGGCGGCGAGCCGAGCTCACACGCTCGGAGGAGGAGAAGGCGCGAGTCGGGCGGGGCTACGGGCGACGCGGCGGCGCGCGACGACGGCGAGGGACGACGGCGGCATCGGCGGGTGGTGGGGCGGCGTCGGGCGGAGGTGGATGGGCGATCGAATGGCGCCGGCGAGCATGGGCGAAACGACGAGAACCCGGTCGGTTTGGAGGAGGAAGAAGAAAGAGAAGAGAGAGAGAGAGAGAAGAAGAAAGAAAGAAGAAAAAGAAGGAGAGAGAGGGAGAATGGGGTGCGTCAGAGGGGGGGAAGTGTGCGTGCGTGATGGACGTTGCATGCAGGGGAAGAGAGAGAGAGAGAGAGAGAGAGAGAGAGAGAGAGAGAGAGAGAGAGAGAAGAGAGAAGGAAGGAGAGATGGGACAGACGCACGGGGAAGAGAGAAGTGAAGACGTG